ATATTTTTGAATTTATCAGTTTTTAATATTCTTCTTATTTTAAATCATTTTTCATTATTAGTTTGTGTAAATTCATGCTAATTTTATGTTAATTTGCCTTAATTTTTAAAACCTTTCCCTCGCAAAACAGAGCTTATCTCAGAAGCACAAAAAGTCATCAGCCAGTAGATGCACACGTCTGATGATGTCACTCTTTGTCATCATCTGTCTATCTGTCATCATTCTGTTATCATTTGATGTATATCACCATGGCTCTACTATGGGTCCGTTGTTGTTGTTGGACTGTGATCTTTGTTGCTGTTGCAGTTGTTGTGCTGTTGATAATGTTCTGTTGTGGTTGCCGACATATTGGATATTTTGTGTGATGTTTTTGTTGCTGTTTTGTGTTGATGTTTTCGGGGCTTTCGTTGATGTTATCTTTGTCGTTGTTGGGTCGCTAATGACATTAACATCATTAATAACATCAACAGAATCCCTGACATACAAGAAGTTATCAGAAGCCGGTGTCATTAATGCCATCGATTACTTGTATAAAAATGCCAGAGACCATTTGCAAGTTGCTCTCAAGTTGGTTGTCGTTCTCTGCTGTTGATATTGTCGCATTATATTGTCTTTGGCTATCTTCAAGTTAGCAATAATAACGACGGAGCATTTAAAACGGCAAGGCATATCATCCCATTCCCACTAAAAATTCATAAATTAAATTAAAAAACCAAACAATAGGTGGATTTCAGACAACGTTCCACAGCATCTGGAGAGAGCCCTAGAACTTGTGACGCCCTATGTGCAGTTGTTGCTGAAAAAAATAGCATTAGCGTTTGATTATGCTATGGACAAAACTACTAATCAAAGATTGTGGATGGTAGAAATGTTTCACTATGCTCACAATCAGGTATATTGATTGATTGGTTGGGTGGTTGATTGATTGAACCAAGTGTAATTGGTTGGCTAGTTGATTGATTGAATGTTTTATCATGTGGTTTCAAAGGTTACTGGATTAGTTGATATAACGAATGATTGCCAGATTAGTCGGTCAACTGATTGATTGGTTCGTTAGTTGTTTGATTGATCGATTGGCTAGCTGATTAATTGGTTTGTTTTCAATATTTTTTGTTGTTTGAAAATAGTTTTGAAGTTATAATTACAACAATTATGAAATAATTATTTAAAAAAATGGTATTTATTATATATTGAAAAACAACTTTTTCCACAACAGCTCATCATATACACACCTGGATTGTTTCAATGTCTGGAGTGGGTATGTGAGCACGCTATCAACATGGCCAGCCTGATGTTTGATAACATCTGTAGGCTCGTGGAATCCATCTATAAATATCTGTCAAATGATGTCTTTGTGTAAGCTGATGTTGTTTGTCATATAGCTAATGATAATAATAATAATAATATGAATAATTCATGAAATCGTAAAAAAATTTTATGCATAAATATTTGAAACAAAAAATGTTTTACTCTTCATCACTCACGCTCCCTCAGTGGACAGCTATCTCCACAAAACGTGAAAAATTCATTACTGGAGCTGTTGAAACTGGCACAGAATAGCATTCAATCTGTCATTGTTTGGGTCCAAGAAACTGCTTATAAGAAATGATTCATTTTAATTATTATTCTAATAATTATTATATATTATTATTATTTCTAAATTATTTAGTTAAGTTTAATAAAGTCCGTTCACTTTGGTGTTTTATGCTGTGTATGTGAGGGTTAGTGACTTATTGTACTGATTCACTGACTGTTACTATATATAAAAATTACTGTTTACAAGTAATTCGTTAAGTAAAATTAATTAAGTTTAATAGTTAAGTTAATTAAGGATGGTCAAAATATTTTCTGAATGTTAATTAATTTATTTTGTCATACTGATTGAATTTTAATTAAGTTTTGTTTACTAAGTTGATTGATCTATCAGTTTCCTCTCATATTAAGTCTGCAAACTTTTGTTTCCGAACGAAATTAAAAATAATTTCCTTCTGTCTTCTACATTCGACGAACGCTCGTAAAAACTTCAATGGACTCTACTCTTATTATTTCAGTCAAACTGAACGGTCCATGTGATGTACAAACATAAGTTGGATTCAATATACGTATAAATATGTGTATAACTTTAAACCGTTCCTAGTTATTCTACCCTTATTCTATATATATATATATATATTTATATAGATATATATTTATGGTGTACAAACATACTAAAAAAGGCTTTGACTTCATTGAATGGAAACCTTTTTACTTGCGATAAAATAAAACAAATATATATATATACATATAGGAGATTTATTTATATATATATATATATATATAGATGGTGACGATACTTTGAAACATGTATAGATTAATAATAAATGGTTGATGTTCTTGGATGAACATCACTGGCGGACAAGCCATCATCGGAGGTGGAAAGATACATGAGGAGAAGGAAGATTATTATTTAAAAAATAAGAACCAACAAAATAAAATCAGAGATTTAATTGCATTCCATCGATAACATTGTCATCCTCAATTCATAAACTAAAACATCATCCATTTAATATACATAAAGTTAAGCAAAGACATACACACACACACAAATATTACGAACACAAATTTAAACACCCAGTAAACTATGCAATTCCTCATCATCCATAACTTGTTCATCGCTTGTCTTGTATTGCTTCGAGTGTAAAGAGTGTCGCTGCTTATTACCACTACTACCACCTCCAGCACCACCACTACTGCTACTACCACCACCACGATAATGCAGCTGTGACGACGATGATAATGAAGATGGAGTAGTTGCGTTAGCTGCTGCTACTACAGTTGCCGTCGTGGCTGATGATGTTGCCGACCGCCTAAGTTGTGAAGATGATGAAGAAGACGATGAAGAGGATACTTTTGAAACAATTTCATTTATTCTGTCTTCCAAGTTCTTCCTCTCTTCATCATCCTTTGTCTAAAAAATTATTATTTCTTTCATTATTTTAATTATTATTATTATATTTAATAACATAACCAAATAATAATAATAAAAATATTGCTATTTACAAAGCACCATACTCGCCTGGGATAGAGACGATGCCCTCTTATAAATCTTACTGAAAGATGCCTGAAAGTTATCCTTGGACGTACGTAATATGTCGTCATCTTTCCTAGTATTATTAATATCATTGTTGTAGTTAATACTATTGTTCTTCCTGTTCTTTATGACGTCACTATAATCTACATCATCATCGTCGTCGTCGTCGTTACCATCATCGTCGTCGTCATCTGATTTCTCGTTATCCGGATATTTTAGAGTCTTTGATAAGTCATTTGCTGTTGTTGTTGTTGTTGCTGTAAGGTTTTTATCACTAAAATTATTATTATTATTAGTAGTAGTAGTAGTGGTGATGGTAGTATTGTTGTTATGAAGTAACGTCAAATTGAAACTGTTGTCATTATCGTTACTGTTGTTAGCCGTCTTTTCTACAGAAGAATCAGTCAGTGCTGTTTTCAAGCAGCTTGGCTCGATATTATCAATAGCTGTATCATTGTTATTAGCTGACTCTTCAGCAACTGTAGTAGCTGTGATTAAATTTTGTTGTTGCTGCTCGGTAGCGTCAGAAACTGCAGTCGTATTAGTAGTAACAGTAGTTGCTGTGTTGTTGGCGTTGTTGTTGTTGAAGAATGCTTGAGTTTCTCTATCGAATACCTTTGTGATTGGTTGTTTGTTTGTGTATTTGTTTGTTTGTATGTTGGATTGAAATGTTTGTTGGATTGAATGTTTGATTGACTGAATGTTTGTTTGAACGTTTGATTGAATGAATAAACGATTGATTGATTGACTGACAAACTAACTGGTCACCAATAAAGACAGCAGTGGCATGGAAGCACAACAAAAGACAACAGATCAAATCTCTATTACAACAAAACAGCAACAACAAAGAACGACAAACAACAACAGCAAAGAACAAAGAACAGGATCTTACAGCGTTAAAATTATCTCCATCTTTGATGTTGAATAATTTTTTAAATTTTCCATACAATGTCTCGGCCCAACTCCTAATTTGGCCACTTCCTTTATATTTTCGACACTTTTCAGAGAAAAAAATTAGTGAATATCAATCGACAGATCAATCAGTCAACCAATCAAATCAATCAATCAGTCAACCAATCAATCAATCTGTCCATCAATCAATTAATCATTTACTCAATTAATTCATTGAACATTTGTTCATTTATTCATTCATTCATTCTACTAATCAGCCAGCCAACCAACTGATATTTGACAACTGGCAATACAGAGACCAACCAATTAATCAAGCAAGCAACCGATTTATCGGTTCACCAATCAATCAATCAATCAATCAATCAACCAACCAACCAATCAATCAATCAGTCAATCAATCAGCCACCAACTATCAACCTTTTTAACGGTCGTCATGATAGAAGGATTCTTGATCAAGATGGCCATGGTGAGGTTCTCAATTGAGTTTAACTCCTTCATCACCTCTATGCATCTCTCTATGTCCTATTTGTTATCATAGTATGAATGAATGATTGAATGCGTGAAAAAATGAATGAATGGATGAATGAATAAAAAAAGTGAATGAATGAGAAAATAATAATTGAGTTAAGAAATAAAACGAATGAATATATGAATGATTGAATAAATGAATGACTGGATACACGAATAAGAGAATGCACAAATAAATGAATGAATGATTGAATAAACGAACAAATGAATGAATGAAAGGAACGTAATCATGTCAGCTAACAGCTGAGCCCATGCTGAGTGACTTCTTAATTTCACTGTCCAACTGATTCAACTTTTCAACAACTGCACTATTACCTGTTCGAGATGTTATAAAATGATGTAATCTTTCTCAAAATATAACATACACACGTACATCCTTCCAACTTAATATTTTACATTCAATCAACCATCCAACCAATCTTCCAAAACCAATCAACCAACCAACCAATCAATCCAACGATCAACCAATCCACAAAGCGGCCAACCAATCCAACCTTGAGATTTTTCCTTCTTTTTGGCTTCCACTTTTTGTTTAGCATTACCGTTATCACTGCTGACACCGTCCTTGAAAACCCTCTCAGACTGTTCATTCAATTTTCTTAAGACAGATAAACAAACAAATAAATAATAAATATTAATAATAAAAGAACGACAATTGCAACAATAACAACAACAACAACAACAACAACAACAACAACAACAACAACAACAACAACAACAACAACAACAACAACAACAACAACAATAGTAATGCCACCAATAGTCGCAAGAATGACATCATCAAAAATTACTTTGTCTTGACATCGGTCTGTTTAGGACTAGTAAACCCTTTAACACCGTCACTACTATTTAACAGGTCAATCTGCATTAGCAATTAGTAACTTGTAAGATAACAATAGTAATATTAATAAGATAGCAATAATGATAATAATAATAAGGATAACAGTAGCAGCAGCAACAACAACAAAAAATAATAATAACGACCACTTTGTCACTCTTCTTCTTCGAACTCTCCTGTTCTTCCTCTCGTCTATCTGTTTTTTTCAAACTCGAGGAATTCATTTGCTCCAAAGATCTCAAAAATTTCTTGGATTTAGTGTCTTTTGGCATTATTTCGTTCTGTTAATCAATTGATTTTAATTCTAGATTTAAATTTTTCATTTCAATTTAATTTTTTGCAATTTTTCAAATGAAGCACAAAGAGACATAAGGATAAATATTCAAAAACTACAGACCGACAAACAAGTCAGACAAACGGAGAGACAGAAAAACAAGCAGACAGACAGACAGGCAGACAGACAGACAGACAGAGAGACAAAATAACCTTAACTTTGGAAGGCACATTTTTAACTTTATCAACACTTTTATTTGCTCTTGCTGAATGTTTTTTCTTATTTCTTTGAAATGAATCATCATCTAACTTTCCTCTTTTCCTTTTCGGTTTAATCCTACGAGAAGTATATAAATATATGTATGTCTTGTTTGTATGTATGTTTTGTTTGTATGTATGTTTTGTTTGTATGTATGTTTTGTTCGTTTGTATGTTTTGTTCGTTTGTATGTTTTGATTGTATGTTTGTTTATAAGTTTGAGATGTTTTCTATGATTGTTTGTCCACGCAACCTTTTACTGAGATCAACATCATCATCATCATTGGAAGAGAGGGAAGAGGAAGAGGATGGAGATCGAACCCTTTTGCGATTCAACGCTGCTCAATAAAGAAATAAATAACAAAAAATCATGCGTCATTGTACAATACAGAAACATTAAAAACTCAAATAAAAATAGCCCAAAGAACTTACATTTTGAATTTTTAACTTTCGACGAACGACTCGACCTTTCAGGGACGATCTCTTCGGAGCTACTTGACCTGTCCCCAACATCATTATCACCACCACCACTAATCTTAGCATCATTATCATCATTCCTGACGTCATTATCATCACCATCGTCGTCTTTGGACTTCTCACCATCACCATCATTCTCTACCTTATTATCATTATTATCACCATCAGCTCTAACTCCATCACCACCCTTCGTTTTACCATCACCTTTATTGGCATCATCATCATTATAATTGACCCAATTTACATCATCATCATCATTATTATCATCATCATTACTCTTGTTATCACCATTAACACCATCGTTACGGCCGTGATTATGTTTGTCAGCATCATTCGGTGATAACGCAGGTGGTGAGGGCGATGATGACGCTGATAGAGATGGGGACAAATTTCTTGAGGGTGAGACAGATGGCGATGATGACGACGACGAAACTGATGGTGACGAAAGTTGCTTTCGTCTTGATGACCGTCTTTGTTGTTTTGTTCTTGTGCTGCTTTTCTCGTTTCGCGACCTGGACTGCCTTTTGGCGGATCCTCTGCTCTGTTTGGTTGTTTGCTTTGAGTTATTTCTGCCTCCTCTCAATGTTTTTTTGTTATCTTTTTCTAATTTATTATCTTTCTTTTTGTTTGTAAGTTTACTTTTATTGTTATCGTCATCGTAGTCGTTACCATCCTCATAAACTTTATTATCATCGTTATTCTTTTCATCCTCACTTTGGTATTCTTTTACTTCGTGCTCTCTCTCTTTCAAACTATCATCACACGTTTTGTCGTCATCATCACCACCATCATTATCATCGTCGTTCATGTTCTTCCCTTCGTCAATGTTTTTGATTTTACCGTCATCATCATCATCATCTTTGCGTTCATTATCACTACCATCATCTTTTACATTATTGTTAGTACCATCATCATCATCATTATTATTATCATCATCATTCATGTTGACGTCATTTAAAACATCTTCATCAGCAATACTTTTATTTTTATCATCCCTATTATTTTTATCAATCTTTTTCTTTTTATTATATTTTGGTTTTTCATCTGGCCTTCCGCCATCTTCTTCGTCGTCGTCGTCATGATCCTAATTTCAAAATATAAGATGACGAAAATAAAATAAAATAATTTCATTCATAAGCATTACACAATACACGCATGTTCATTTAGGCATACGAGTGATCATTTCAATCTAGTCTTATGAATTTATGTATATGTACAAGTACAAGTACAAGTACACACACACACACACACACACACACACACACACACACACACACACACACACACTTGCCCTAAATGAATCAGAATAATCTTTTTTAAGTCTTTTTGCAGGTCTGTCAACAAACTTTTTTTTAGCCTATTAGTGAAAAAATCATTAATTAATCAACGATTCAAATGATCAATCAATCAATTAATTAATCAATCAATTAATCAATCATTCATTCAATCAACTAATCAATCAATCAATCATTCAGTCAAAATGTTACTAATAATAATAGTGATAATTAGAACATCATTTTATGGGCGGGAGTGGCGAGATAATTTTATTTTCTCACTGACCTTGGCAGATCTTACAGTCTCACTATCTTGATCGTCATCAGGATTTCTCTCACCGCCATCTTCATTAATTTGACTTTCAAGAGATTTTCGTTTTCTTTTAACAGTCTTCCGTTGATTGCTGGCAAGATAATTCTTCCTCTTAAGTCCCTACCCCAATTAATTCAATTTCACTACTTTATAAGACTAACTCAAGTTAGTAACGAAAATAATGTAATGTAATTGAAGTTGTACAATAAATAACGAAAGAGCATTGACAGTATATAAAACTGAACAAAACTTACGTGCCACAATAAGTAAGCCAGTATAAAAACTGGTACAAATAAAATTACTAACAAGATTTTGTACCTTGTAAGGGCATCTCAGTTAAGAGAAAATGCAGAAAAACAAGATAGAATCAGTGCAAATAGGATCAACTCATATTTTAATAAACTAATTAACAAATCAAACTCGTGAAGGGTTTATCAATCAATCAACTAATAAATTAATTAATCATAAAAGTCAAATAACCCGTAATCCAATATCATTGTTATCATCATCATCATTTGCCTTGACTGATTTTTGCCTCTTAGGCTTTTTTGCTTTCTTGGGTTTAGATTTTGAGTGAGATATGTCAAGAATCAAATCATCCTCATCATCTTCACCATCGTTTTTATCATTGTGCTTTGACAAACCATCACCACCACCATCTTCCTCATCATCAATGAGATCATCATTTTTAGACTCTTTCTTATGTATCCTTTTAACAGCGTCATCCTTTTTAGATTTATTTGTCTTTATCTTGGAATGTCTAGGTCTACTTTTAGTTTTTCCATCATCATTTTCACCTTCATCATTATCATTGCCATCATCATCATCAACTTCCTTCTCATTTTCTATATCTGATTTATTCATTGTATCGTCACCATCGTCATCATTATTTGCTTCTTCTGCTGCATCGACAGCCTCCTCTTTCTCCGAGCCGTCATCCTAATAAGGAAGACACATTCAACTTTAAAAATTTGAAAAGCAAATTAGGATTTATTCTCAACCAAAAAATCAATAAATATAAACATTTTATGTAAAAAAAAATCATAAAATGACAATAAGCAAAATCTGGATAATATCTCGTACAATTCCAGAAGACTTTATAAGTGGATTGTTTTCGATTTCGTATAGTCCTTCGTTAAAACCCTTTCTCTTCTGAGGTTTTCCATACTTGCCTTTGAACTTTTCATAGGAGAAAATGTCTTTCGCAGACAAGAAACATCTGTTTAATTACAAAAAATTACTATTCAGCAAAGAATTAAAAATTATGCAAAGAAAATTTTGGAAAATGATTAAAAATTTAGAAAACGAGAACAAATAAAAAAACTTATTCCTCACGTTTCATAAGTTCCATAAAAAAAAATAGGATATTTTCCCTTAGGCACTACAACATCATCTGCTACCTTGTTAATCTAGATTTGATTGAATAACATATTTAATTAACCAATCATGTTTTATCTTAGTTTTCTTCATTTTATTCAAATATTCCCAAAATAAAATTAAATTAAATAAAAATATTTAATAATTAAACATTAGAATCTAAAGTTCCAATAAAATTAAAATGTGACGGTAGATATTTTTATAGGTCTATTCTCTATTTATCCAATAATGAATAAATAGATAAATAATAATAATAATACACAATAAATAAATAAATAAATAATTAAATACAATAAATTTTACTGTCTTGAGAAAAAAAATTAGGAACCCTAACCCTGGCAGGCCATGGAGGATAGCCTTTGACCTTTCCAAAAATTAAATCACCTGGCTGATAACTAATATTTGACTTTGACTGCATTTTTTTCCCCCTTACACTGTTTCAGTTTACTACTCGTTTTTCAAATCAAATGATAGAAGGAGATTTAACATTTATTTAACACACTCAATTAAATAGGGTTAACTAATTTACTGACATTTTTTACAACACCAAGTTATTTTTAGAAGCAAAATTAAATAAAATTAACTCGCGACGATAAATTAAAATTGAAATTTTTTAAAATAAATTATTAAATTTTCAGTTTCACTTCAGTATGAAAACTAAACACAAGGATGACCAAAAAATCGGAGATAGGCTTGTCGAATGAAACAAAACAAGTATTTTGAGTGGGAAAATAATTTATTTGATTGAAAAAAACTCGATTTTATTATTTCTCCGGCTGTACAGCAGAGTGAGCGCGGCGGAGAAGAAGAAATAAATGAAATGTCAACAACTAGCGAACGGGCGAACGATAAAATGATTTAACTAATGGCGCATTGAGGTTCACACTTTAAAAGAATATTTAAAAAGTTGAACGAATAATCGGAAAATTAATTATTATTTTAATTATATGGAATAATCGAATGAATATCTTAACAAATAATAAAAATATTTTGCTATATGTTGGATGGTTGGCTGCTTGATTGATTGTTTAATAAATGTTTGGATGTATGGGTGGTTGGTTGAACATTCGAATTTATTGGTTGCGTGTTTGGTTGATTTGATTAGTTGATTGATTGATTGATTGGCTAGTTAATTGATAAAACAGTATTAAACAGTATCTTATAGTACTGTATAAATGCAAAAAAGATTGAATATAGTTCAATCCTATCAAAAAGCAATTTCAACATTTATATTAACAAAAATAATTATGATATAGATATATTCATTTATTTGAAGCATTAAATGTACAAAAAACCAGTATCATACAGTTGTACGAGACACGATAAGTCACTTAAGCCAACATATGATTTCAGCACCAATTTCTATGAGCCCTAGAATGTAGAAAATTTATTGAATATAATGAATATAGTTGTTCAAATAACAATTTTGATCTATTTACGTCGTTTATTTAATAAGCAAACAAAGTTGAACATGATAGAATAGGGTAAAAAAAGGAGTGACTATAGCTCCATCCTATAACAACCTTCAGTAAGCCACCGGATTTAACTGAACAAAAAGAAATTTTTGTATTCAACATAACAAAAATAATTTAGGTAATCTCGTGTAACTGATGACATATAAATATAACTAACTTGAAAACATGGGAATGCTTTCTTCAGCATTACCTTCCTTTCTCCATCATAACCCTTATAATCTTTATTACAGAAATGGTCACTGCATACTCTTGCATTTTTTGATGGAAGCCATTTGAAATCATTTATTTCCTGTCTGATGCACTTAATCCAATCGTTTTGCATTTTTACATTTTGAGGAAATCTGAAATTTTATAAACTGTTACAGAAACTTGTGCATTTCTTAAGTATTGCTTTTAATAATAAAATGGTAATCCATTATAGCATTATAAATTATAATAGTCTATAAAATAAAATATATGTAATTGTTAAACAAAATAATTTTATTCAACGAGTATAGGGATATTGTTACATTTATTTTAGTGTGAAGTTAATTTGAAAATAAACCTGTGAAAAGATGCATCAGAAATTTTCTCATTTCTATTTATTATTAATGCAATTTTTAATGCAACAGGTAGGCATGTTTGTGTATAGCTACGAAAATGAAAATTTACTTAAAAACTAAATTATTGTATCTGACACGAAAATTAGTACAGAAACAAAAACGAAAGAATAAATGACAATATAAAAATTTAAACATTGATTGAAAAATTGAAAGAGTTTATTCTAATTATATGGTATGGGCAATTCGTTGCGAAATCGTTGGAGGAAATGGTGTCAACAGTAGTTATTTTACTGCATGATAGTTAATCAGCCAGTATAAAGGTTATATTCAATTCCTATCAAATAAATTTGACAAAATATACACAGACAGAACTAAATAAAAAAATAGACATGTAGTTATAATACATTTATAATGTTGTATTTACACATTCAAATTGTACAATTGTGTTATGGTGTAGTCTCAAATTATTTTAAATTCTTTCAGAAAATTTTAAACGTTTTACTACACTATATATACTAGTTATTTTAATCAACAATTTTAAAATTTTATCAATAATTAAAAAAAAATTTCAAATTGATTTCATTGCAATATCACTAATGATTTTTGTGACCTGACTGATTAAAAAGCATCAAAGAAAGTTAAAATAGGATGGAGAATTTGTTATATTGGGATATTCGTTTAAAAAGCGAGCAAAATTTTAATATAAAAGCGCTTATAAATCTATGCATATTGGCTCAGCTTGGCTTGGCTCGGCTTGGAATCGGATGTTAAGCAAGGTGTGGTCTCAAACAATTTTGAATTCTCCCCGAAAAATTGGAACTGCGTGCGTACATATATAGTAATGGCTACTGTTGTTTTTTATAATGAATTTATGCATATTGGCTCAGCTTGGCTTGGCTCGGCTTGGAATTGGATGTTAAGCAAGGTGTGGTCTCAAACAATTTTGAATTCTCCCCGAAAAATTTGAGCTGCGTGCTTACATATATAGCACTGATTACTGTTGCTTTTATAATGAAT